AGGAATAACCTATGATATTAATTGTGACTGGTGTGCATGGGGCAAGCCTGGTGTGGTGGGCAGATCACAGACAACAGGAGGGTTGAGTTTCTGAACCAGCTTTGTCCAAAGCCATCTGGACCATTATTTAAAAGAAACAAACTCTGAGCCTCCACTTTTTAAACTAAAAAATTACAGCATTACAGTATCACTAGGTGTCTTGAATTCACAAATGTACTGTTTAAATGCTAGCTAGATGGTGAGGCAAGCATGTTCAACTCCGGTGTTAGGAGCCACGCCTGTCAGGCAGTTGGAGGTAGAGAGAAGAGATACTTTTGTCCCTGTCTTCAGGGCAAACCTGCCTTGCATTACTCCAAGGTATCCTTCACACAATGTTGTGATTGCTGCTGCTTGATGTCCCGGGACTTGAGTAAAGAGTAAACAGCTAGTATCGATGGGATGTGTAGCAAGCAATAGGGAAAAAATAAAATTGAAATAGAAAGGGTGCTATTTGTTCTACCCCGAATCAGCCATTTTTGGGGGGAATTTAATTTTTCTGTATCTTCCAAAGTGAGTATCTTTTGTATATTTATGCAAGAATGTGAACATTCTTTTTAAGGCAAGACATTTATTTCCAGCTTGAAATAACAAAGATGCTTCAATAGTTATTCTACACAGATGTAGCTTTTCCTTTGTTTACCCACAAGCCTTTTTAGGCACAAACTCTTCTTTCATAACAACTCTTGCAAATTCGTGGACACAGATTTTTTTTGGCCAGAATTTTAGAGTTCCTTTGAATCTATGTGTGACTGTACGTGTATGAGAACATGTAGAAGCACATGCACAGAGCCATACATGTGTTCTGCGTGGGAGTAAAGAACTGTTAAAAATAGATTTTACAAAGTTGGTAGAGGCAATTTGCTGATGGCTGATGAGCGGATGATGCTGGGGGCCCTCAGCTTCATAGAGTTGCATAATGTCACCCCCACTAGTCAGGTTAGGTGAGGTCGTAGCATCTTATCTATAGACCTGATAAGGCTGCCTGAATTACTATGATGAAATTTACTTAGACCTCTTGAAGCCATGAGTGCTTGATTTGCTGTCTGATTAAACAGGGCTCCCTGTCCAGGGGTGAAGTGGTGCTGGTGATGATAAACTGGCTTCCATTCAGAGTTGGTAGGCATAATTTCTTGCCCCAGTTGTAGGACCAACATGACTCTGTGCAACCAGCTTGTTCTCTGTTGGCAATAGCAGCAAGCATGGTGGAAACATGATGTACAGGCTCAGCTCAGAGAGGGTCACCAAGCTACACTCTGAGGCCGGATGAAAGGATCAAAGTGGTGCAGATGATGCTTGGCCATCAAGGAAGAAGACCTGGAGGAAAGTGTTCGCATCCCTGGCATGTTCACAACATGGGAAAAGTTACAGGTTCTTGATGTGTTTTCACAGAACCTGCAAAAATACTTCTGCAAAGTACCGAACTTCTTGCATTGTTGCTTGAATGCATTGCTATTGCTCTTGCTAATGAAACCAGCCATTCATCATCTCCTTATACCACAATGGGCATCCTGTCTCCAATTTGTCTCAATTCTTTTGTCTGAGAACTGAACCCTGAACCTGAACATTGATTCCTTGCAGTCCCTTTTTCCAGAAGCAGCCAGGGAAACATTCACAGCAAAGATGCCAGAAATTCAAGGCTTCCAAGGCCTGGGGGAGACACAGCCCATCTCCACATTCTTGGAGGTGTACAAAGACCAAGGTTTAGCAGCAAAGAGAAACTGAATCACTCAGTCAACCACAAAAATCTTCATCTTCTGTGGCTAGGATGTTCTCCAAACTGGCAGCTACCCATAACACACATTTGCACCTGGAAAAGAACACAACCCAGCTTCATGCTTATCCTGCCTGTTTTTATGGAATGGCCAGGTGTGAGAAGCTCATCTCCCTGGCTTATCTTAGTGAGAGATTTACCATGTGACAATGGGCAGGCATCAGCTTGTTACTTCCCTAGCTGCTTCCTTTAAACCGTAATTGAACCACAGGATTGTGGGTTGGGAAGGTCAGGGAAGATCAAAAACTGGTAGATCCATATAATTCTTCTTCACAGAAAAGATCAACATAAATTAACACTGACGGAGTGGTTACTGTGTCATATGAGTACTGAGATACAGGGACTTTACTGACTCTTGTAGTTTTTGTTCATTGTGTAATGTCAAGGTGCTTTTGTTATCCACATTTCACAGATGAGACAATGGAGATTATGGGAGAAGAAGCAGCTCACAGGCTCAGAGGGCAGAGCTGAGTCAGGAAATTAATCCCTGTTTATCTCTAAGGCTTGAGTGTTTTTCCCTCTGCCATGTGTAGATTTTGCTTTAGAATCATTAGTTAGGACATAGTTGCTTCATTTGGACCAAAAAGGACAACCAAATTTATCTCCATGTGGAAATGGCCAAGTTACATTATATTTTATCACTATTCTACTTGATAACCTCTAGTGATCTTTTACCTATAGACTGGGAGCAATTCACTGAAATATTTCAAAAATTCTGCAACAGTTTTTCTCTTGTGGTATGCCATGTTGACTTATTTGTATCATTCTCCAGTTTCTAGTTTGTGTCTTAGACCATCCCACCAACACAGAAACCCATGGTTGTGCCATATTCTCTTCCTGAATTTACCTATCCAATCTTTGTAGAATTCTCTGAAAAGATTTTACCTATTCCGCAAAAATTTCCTGGTTCTCCCAAAAGCTGTGAATGGTTTTCCCTTCATCTTTCCACAGCTCTGTATTTGTCTGCTTGTAAGTTACCCCTTCTGGGACTACTGGTCTTAAGACTAGCTGTCCATTTGTTTAAGGCAGGGGTGAGAGTAAACTTACTCTGCCAAGGATCAGATAGCAGAAATGTTAGGCATTGCAATTCATATAGTATCTACTGCAACTCAGCTTGGTTGTTGCATTACAAAAAGAAACAAATTTAGACAATGTCAAAGGAAATAGAAAAGTAGCGCTTGAATAGAACTAGAATAACAAGACCTGGTGACCAGACTGCCTCTGTCTTCAGCTCTCAAATATTCGCCGTTTTGTCTTTTTCTTGCCTCTGTCACTCCAGTGATACACTGTGCTACAGGTTGCTCTCATAAATACTTGCAGAGCTAACTAAATTCCTAACTGTTGGAATTAGAGATGGTTTTTGAAAAGTTACTATTGAGACTTTGGCACCCGGGCAGTTGTGTTCTGTCTACAGCACTGAGCTGTCAGAATCTCCTGACCTGTACCTGACTTTCCCATAGGCTTGGAAATTTGCTTTAAAGCTTGACTTCTAAAGAATCACAAAATATTACCTTTTTTGGTCAACCCCTCTCCTCAAACTGAAGGAAAACCTGTAAGGTTTATGATTGTGTAAAGTCTACATGACTTCTAATTCAAAAGAGCAAGAAAGAGATGGGTTTTGCTGGGTTTACAGAGGCCAAAAACATTTTCTCTCATTGAGTCAGCTGGTCAGTAAATTCTTAAGTCATAATGAATGGCCCTCCCTACTTGGGGGCTTCATTCATGAATTTAATGACAGCTTCCGTATCAGCAAGGTGATATGTGGGGTAAGGTTTATAGAAACTTGTGTGTCTGCCCATGGGACTGATTCTAAACCCAAGTGCTCATTCAGAACATACTCCCCAGTGGCTGGGAAAAAATTCTCTGTATGCTGAGAGCTTTGTAATGCATTTAAACCCTTCTAGCCTCCTAGATTCTGGGCATGCTCAGTAGGTTACCCATCCTGTCTTCATCATGATTGTTAGCTCCTGTCTTAACCCAGTTCTGGCCTACTTTTTTTTAGTCTAAACATTTGATATGATAGAAGCAATTTATATACCCCTGACTAGGAATCTTCAGCAAGTTGGCCACACAAAATAAGATCATAAAGAGAGTCTCCTAGGGATAGATGAGGACCAGCAAAAGGGCATCCCCCGTAGGGTAGGTATCTGTCATCATAAGATGTTTTTCCATTTGCGATTTTGGTTAGAAAATCTGTGTGGATGAAAAGGGATGGTATCTTCACACAAACATATTAAGCACCAATTTTGAAGGCTTAACAACCAGAAAAACAGGCATGGATCCCCTGTTCTCTGCCTCTTCCACGGCCACAGGCTTCCAGTACACACAGAGACAAGTGTTCTGTGTGGAAAAGGCATGTTGATAGCAGTGTCTGGAAGAAGTTGTGTCCATAGAGCGATCAACAAGATCATGTTCTTTACAACCAAAGCATTCAGACTCCTATACCCTTGGCTGGTGAGCATTCTCAGCATATGAAACTCTCTACTCTGCCTCACCACCCTCACCCCATCAGCTCATCTCCCCTGTGCCTCCCTGTCCCCACCACCAAGACTCCTCCCTCTCAGAAATAACATCAGGTTATTTTAAAGCTGTGACCTGAGAAGGCCTCCTGAGCAAGTCACTTAAGCTGCCTCCTGCAGCAGTCCTGACACATCTGCAGCAAAGCTGTTGCAGAATTTGCCTAGAAAATAACCCCACATTGCTATAACCAGACCCAGGGTCGCCACTCAGCTGCTATGAAAAACATACCGATCGACTATTTATTATTACTGGATCTGACTCATGAATATGAAGGGACTTTAAAAAGTTCATAGGAAATGGAATGAAAAGAGAAGTTTATTCTGTTACCTTCTCCCCTTTCTCTGCCCCATATGAAATCCATGTATCACTTTTTTTTTTCATGACACCTATTTTCAGTGAAATAGCTAAAGATCCGCAGTATGATTTAAAACAACAGAAGAGAACATTTGATTAAATTTGTCTGCATCCTAACTCTAAGAGTTTCTTCCTTTCCAGGAGACCACTTGGAGATGTAAGAAATCTGATTTCCTAAGAATACCCTCTATTTTCATCATGAGGATGTGCTGTTTCTGACTTGTGGATATGGGGTGTGGGAGGAAATAGGGAGAAGTGAGGGAAGGTAGTGGCCATGTTCCCCATAGCAGGTGGCAGTGTCCCTGATATTACTCACATGTGTTGGGAGGCGTTGGGGTACAGTTTTGAAAACTGTGGGGCTGAGTCCTCAGGGCCGTGGGGTGCAGCGTGGCTGATCACCATCATAATGGGCCTATGGGGATACATTCTCTTAGACATTTTGAAGTAATTAATGCTCTCGTTAGTGATTAAGTCTGTGAAGTAGTCCTGAAACATACATTTGACACAAAACAACAACAATTACAAAAAGTGACAGTCATCAGATCACGTTTCTCCCCAGAAGGGACTCCCTGCAGAGGGGGACCTAAGCAGGAAGGAAAGATATTCCGCCCCAGGTACAGAAAAACACTTTTAGAATAGGAGAGTAACAGTTCCCAGACACTTTCTAAGACAGCTAGCTTGATGACATGCAAAAGAAAAATGTATCTGAAGCAACACACCATTTAGCAGTTAGGAAAGAAAAAGGCAAGTCACATTTGCCCATGATAATGCACAAATCTTGCAACTCAAATGCTAGCACACATGAAATACCGGATACATATTTCATGCTCAGGTTTTGCTTATGTAATACACTGGCAAAAATATTTTAATGACTTCAAGGGCAGGAAACACCCACACCCACCCACTTCAAATCCACAGTTGCAGAACACACACACACACTCTCATAAACGTATAAACACAAGAAAAGATTTTCTCTTGCAATTGAAACTTCAACTACACGAATTATATACAATAATCATTAATCAAAACCATGGACAAAATCTGGGAGCACAGGGAAAAGCTTCCAACATTTTATCAATTAATTTACTTGAAACACTTAAATATGGGGAGCAGTTGATTTCCTGCAGATTATACTGTGCTAATTGCACAACTAAAGTAATACAGCTGCTGGGATTAGAGCCTGACTTGCTAATAAAATGACTTAACCCACAGTTGGGGGCTGCTGCCAGGCTGAGACGGAGAGGGAGGAAATGGAATGAAAAGGAAAGATGAAAACTTAAATTAAACCACCTGCTCCCTCTAAGTGTGTATCATTGGCCTGGAGCTCCAGTATAAACTTTATTCAGAAAGTCCCAGGCTATGTTCACGGGGACAAAGGCTTCCAGGCATAGCTAATCACATGTTGTGGATGTAAGGACCAGAACAGCTGCAAAAGCAGTGGCAGCGCTGGAGAGACCAATCTGTGTCACACATCACTGTGAGGACAAGACCACAGGCTGTCCCCTTTTTCTGTAGGGGTGTCTGTTTCATTCCTCCCCTCATTGGAAAAAAAAAAAGATAGATATTCTTTTTGGACACAGTTGTCTTTGACACTTAATCAGCTGTGATAATGAACAAGCCACGCTGATTTAGTATTTGGAGAAAATCTTGATTACTTTGCTCTCTTTAGAACAACAGGGAATGAAAGGTTAATAGCTTGAACAAGGAGTCTGAAAAGCATCCCCACGGATAGATAGCGATAGCGGTGACAATTAGTGCATGTGGCACACATGGGTTGCATGCAGTGGGAAATGACCCAGGGTGAGTGAGTGACTCAACCACTTTGAGCAGCCTTTTCTTCGCTTTTAAAACGAGGATGTTGTTCAAATTTGCCCCTAGGTTCCTGCCAACTCTCAGCTTGGATGAGTTTGGAAGTCCATGAGCAATGTTTGTGAATTCATTTGCATTCATTGTTTTCTGAAGGGTATGAGACAGACTCACACCTTGCTAACCCCAAAGTCCTTTGTGCTCAAATCAGATGAAGCACAAAGACAGCCTACCATAAATCAAGTTCCTCTTTTGTGATTTCCACACAGTACTGCAGCCAATGGGGAGAGCTGCTAGCTAAAGTAGATTCTTCTCAGAAATAGAGATAGCTTCTCTCAGAAAAAGGCTAAAAAGGCAGGAAAGAAAGGGGATATTCTGGGCAAATTAGGAGACTAAATTAAAAAATATGAGGGCATTTCAAAAAGGTAATGGAAGGGGTCAGCACTATGGTGGAGTGGGTGGAGTCACTGTCTGATGGGATTCCTCTGGGCGTAAATTCAAGTCCTGGCTATTTCACTTCCAATCCAGCTCCTTGTTAAAGTGCCTGGAAAATCAGTGGAAGACAGCCTAAGTCATTGGGTCTCTGCAAGTATGTGGGAGACCTACAAGAAGCTCCCGGCTTCGGCTTGGCCCAGCCCTGGCCATTATGGCCATTTGGGGAGTGAACCAGTGGCTAGAAGACTTCTCTATCTCTCCCTCTCTGCAACTCTGCCTTTCACATAAACAAATCCATCTTTTAAGAAAAAATTTATGGAAAACAGAATTTTAAAAGACATTGATGTTAGTGCAAACATTTTGGAATCCATGAATAATTTTGTCATAATGCACATTTTCCCTGGTCTTTCTGAAGATCCCTATGTGCATGAATATCTAAAATATCTCCTTCACTCTTGGCACCAGGAAATCTTAAAATGTTGCTGACAGCCACAAAACGTTCATGATTTTTCAGAGATTCATTGGTTAGGGAACCGTGAGTCGTGCTGATCTCTGTTTCTGTGAACTGGTTTGGGAATCCTGGGATGGCAGCCTTAGACACATCCGTGAACCCTCGCAGCCCCGTGGGCAGATGTTGGACAAGCGTAAAAGCGAGGAATGCCGTTTCCTGACCCTTCTTTGTTGCACATGTCTGCTGTTATTTTTACTGCTAAGTCTGAAGTCACAGGCAAAACACATTTTTGCTTCAGTGCAAAGCAAGACAGTTCACAATGAACATTTGATTATGTGGATGCATCGTCAGAGAGGGACAAACGGATATCATCACAAGACAGAGTGAAAGATCTATGATCTTGAGGATTCTTTTATCAAAGGTCGATTGCCTTTTATCTAAATGAGGTGGTGGTGGGGAGGGGAATCACTACTTACAGGCAGCGTGCCTTGACAGGACTTTTCCCTTGCCTCGGGTTTTAAAATTACCTTAAAATTTTTCATTCTAACATTGTGAGAACATAGAAAGCCAATCTTGTAGATGCTTTAACTCACTTAAAAAGGCTGTCCTCCACTATGCACAAAGCAAACTGATGCAGTGTAAAGTGCCTGAAAATTACCTTTGCATAATCAAATCCATGCTTTTCTTTGATGCCATTGCGACAAACAGTGTAATTATAGAAACGAGAATTCTTGATTAATCCAAGCCATTCTCGCCACCCAGGAGGGATGTAGCTGCCATTATACTCATTGAGGTATTTTCCAAAGAAGGCTGCAATGGGAAAAAAAGATTATCTTTTCATAAGAAATGATTAATCACAAATAAATGCATAAACATGAAATCATGACTTGTAAAAGAGAATGGTAAAACAAAAATTACCTAGGTAACAGTAACACCAAAATAATATTAGCTTAAACACCCTGATCCTTTGGCAAAATGACATACACACATTTTCCTTTGGAATAAATCTAAGTAGCACCTAAGTACATGGATTATGATTTAATAAAATCACCATAATGATCACAGCACTCTGAATGAATTTATGACTCATGATCCTACTGGAATAAAACCAAAATATACTTTCCGTGGAGTTCTTGTAATAATCTGAGAGGCCAGTGTGAGATTTGGAATGCTACCACTGGGCACATATTGGAAAACTAAAAGTTCAGTGTTTGTGAGAAAATAAGTTTCCCACCTATTTGAGGGTTGTGAATTATAAAAACATCATTGGAAAAGCTTGTCTTTGTTTTTCCATTTCCAGTTTATATCCAGAAGATACAAACTTTCCTAACCAAGGAAGTGTGGTCAACCCAATTTTATGGGAATGGTGAGGGCTTGTGTGTCCCAAATACTTTGTATTATGGGTAATTATGTTATGTGTGTTTTATGAACATGTACATCTGTCACTGCTTATGAAGAATTCTAGCAACATGGAGTTCCTATAGACATTTTTAATTTTCATAGGCTTATAGCATAATAGAAACATCCACATCACCAAAATGCCCCAGTTGCCTAAAGTAGACCTTGGAAAGAGTTCATGCTGAAAAAGTGTTAAGACTTCTTGATGTATTTTAGATGCAGAATGGCACACACACACACACACACACACACACACACACACACACACACACACAGAGAAAGAGAGAGAGAAAGCACATCCATTTTGGCTCACTCACTCCCCAAATGTCTATAATAGTTGGGGGCATAGTCAAGCTAAAGCCAGGGGCAAGAACTCCATCTGGTCCTTTCCATGGGATAGGGGTCCAAGGAGCTGGACCACCTTTTGCTGCTTTCCTGGGCACATCAGCAGGAAGGTGAATTGGAAGCAATCCTTGATATGGGATGTCAATGTTGCAAGTAACAGCTAACTTGCTGTGTTAAAATGCCGACCTTGCATTTATCTCTTTGACCCAATATACTCCTAAGATTTTACAAGTTCTAGACTTTTACAGTTTCTGCTGTTCATTCAAATTATAATCTGAACTTTTTCAACAATGTGTAATTTATTTGGAGGCAAGTACAGAGAGCAAGAGTGAACAGCAATCTGTTGGCTCACCTCCTGTATTCTGGCTGGCAACCGCTGGGGCTGAAGGCAGGAGCTAAGAGCTCAGGTCTCCTGCATGGGTGGCAAAGACCTGAGTAGGGACCCATTGTTTGCTGCTTCCTAATGTGTTCAATAGAAAGAAACTGGATTGGATGCACAGGCAGGAAGGCCATCCACTCCTCTTTTCTCATGTGCATTAGCAGCAAGCAGGCCTGGAAGTGGAGCGGCCAGGATGTGAAATGGTGCTTATATGGGATGCCATCACTACAGGCAGTGGAGGACTGGCACCCAGGCACTCCAATTTGGGATGTGGGCATCTCAACAGTTTATCCATGGTACCACAGCACCTGCTCTATTGCTTTTTATAATTAATTTCTTTGAAAATAGTCTGAATCAGGGCAGGGAGACATGGCAGTGTTTATTTAATGAAGGTAGGAATGAATGAGTCCACGCAATGACCCATGTGGCCGAGTGTTCTCTCTGCCTGAGGACTGCCTCCGTCCCCTGGATCCCCAGGGCCACTGGGTGGGGTTCTGGGTGTAGAATCAACTGCCAACAGCTCCCCCTTCAGATGACTCAGGGTTCCCTCCCAGTTGACCAGGCACAGGAGGGAGTCTTTAGAGGCTCGCTAGCCTTTCCACATAGAATCACAGTGTGCTTTTTCCTTTTCTGACCCCATGCAGCATGACCTGGGCTGGCAGGCAGCGCACCAAGGTCACACCCAGTCACTGTCAGCTTAGTGGGGGATTGTGGCAGGAGGTTTTGCACTTCCCCTTCTGCCTTGCTGTTTCTTTTGGGCTCCTCATCCTTGGGAGTGGTGGGGTGGGAGGGTGAGTATTGCTATTTTCTCCCCTTTTACTTTTAGAGAGAAAAGAACAGAGAGGTTTAGCATACACTTCCCTCAGCTAGCCAGCCAGCCAGCCAACCAGCCAGGATTCAAATCCCAGCTCTGCTGCATACTAGCCATCAATTAATCTCTCTCCTCCAACTTCCTTCTGTGATGCCAAACAGGGCCAGGCTTATAATGAGGATTAAATGAATATGTATGTAAAACAGTTACAAAGGCTGAATAAGCGCTGCCACCAGCAGTATTAGAACCATCACTCTTTTGGCCCTGTCTTCTAATTTTAGATATTTTGCCATTCAGCAGTGCAGCAACACTGCGCTCTAGCCCATTTGAAAACATCTCTCAAGCTTACAGACTTTTCTCCAGTGTGACTTACTTTGTAGCAGCACATTTTCCCTTCTTTGGCTTGCAATTTCTTGCTTCATGCATTTTTCAGTTTTTCCTGCTACTTTTAGTGGATTTCCCCCCCACCCCCACCCCACTTCCAGACAGCCATGCCAAATCATTCGTGCCCTTTGCTCATTGTTTGACTATGGAGGTAGTTTTGTACTGTTTTCTACCCATTACCATGGCCTCTGCCTTAGTCCTCCCCATATAAACTACTCCTTTAAGTCTCTTAAAATTCCCTGGTCCTTGCTTCAGAACTCCCTCCAGGTTTTTGGTGTCTGTGTTAATGGAGTGTAAAAAATACACTCAGTATTCCAGATGTGCCCTCACCCATCACACTTGTTCCAAGTGACCAGGCCCTCGTGCGTCATGATGCAGCGTCCATTGCTGTCAGCCTTAAGTCACTCCGGCCTTTTAATTATTTATTTATTTATTTTTTGCTGCTGCTGGTGCCTCCTGACATTGAGACTCATTTGTAATCATCCCTGGTCTTTCTCAATGTTTTGCTTCCTGGCAACGCTCTGCAATTGATTATCTGGACTTCTAATTATTTTCCTCCTGCTGTATTAAGTCTGTTTCTTCCTCCCTAAGGTGAATTTCCTTGCCCAGACTGCTGCCATGATGTTTTTGGATAGGTTATGGATGGTCGGAAGTTTTTCTATTTTTAGTCAATGGTAATTCAACTCAGCTATTGCTATCTGAATGCATTCTTTCCAGCTGTTTCAGAAAGGGGCTGAGAGACTGGGAAAAGCAAGTCCTAATTATAATTATTGCTTGCTGTAGGCCACACTATTTCTATTCAGGATTAGCTGTTACATAATCCTTAGACTAATTTCCTTGGACTAGAAAAAGAAAACACACTTATTTATAAGTGAGAAGCAGTCACCATACGAAGGATCTGATATTGCAGAGATATTAAATCTTATTTAACAATTTCAAATAACGTATAGGCTAGCAGGTTAACGAATATTTTATTTGGGTTTTTGCTCCATGTAATTGATAGATTTGGGTGGCAGGATTTCACAGTACTTAAATGACGAAATAAATTTTATCATGTGAAGAGCCAGAGAATCAGAACACAGATTAATTTGTCTCAGTTGATTTTTTTTACAAAATATTTTTCATAAAATGATATTAAAATATTATCCCCTTTGAAATAATATGAAGCGCAATTAGAGTAACCAAAATCTATTTCATATATAATTTCTATCATGTATTATGATTGCAATTTGAACACTTCAATTTTAAACCAATCATTGTGATAAATATAAATGAGTATAATCAAGTTTTAATATGGTTTTGGACAGGAAAGCAAATTGAGGAGTCATTCTGGGTCAATCTCTGTACCACATGGCTTGACAAAGTGGCCGGAGCAAGTCCTTAAAATCAGTGAAGAGTGGATTAATATGTGATGCCAACACCCACAGTCAGAGTGCAGGGCTTTCTTTTACATTTGATGTCACCCGTTGATTATGAGTAATTATCTTAAAAATTTATGTCAAAATTTGTGTTAACATTTATACCTTCAGAAGAAATCTAAATTTAAAAAAAAATCAAGCAGATTTCAGGCAAGGTTTTCATTTTTTTGAGAGATAACTCAATATCATTCCTACTTCACTTGTCAGAACATGAAGTGTAATAACAATATTACTGTATTTTTCCCTTCTTGAACATTTGAGCTCTTGTACACTCATATTTTCCATGAGTAAAGTTAGAAAAATTTAGACTACAGCCAGTCCAAAAATATGCCTCAGTTCTGAAAGAGAAAAATCATGTCATACAATAGTAAATATAATATTGGTTCAATTCAATTCATTTAAATCCGTGTATTCTGGATACCACCCAAAATAAGCCTCTAAGTAATTTGTCTTCTCCAAGTAGTTCTTCATAAAAATGTATTACTGCTTTGTTCTTTTCTCTAGGTGGGTATTTATGTAAAAAACATATTTCAGTTTCCTTCATTATTTCTTTTAGAATTCCAAATAATATTTTCATTATTAGGGAAACAATAAAATCTTTATGTATTGGCCTGCTTCCATTAGTTTTATGCCCAAAAGTCATTATGGAGTGTTAATACCTGCCCACTAATTGTTTTAATTTCCTAGGGTGACTGTCAGCTTTAGGGGTTTGTGTATTTTTGAATACACAGTCCATGGACACAGTCCATCGTAGGGTCAGGAATTATTGTCACAAAGACATCTTTGTTTCTCAATTGTCTGAGCTACTTCAGTGCTTTTCCTATCCAATACAAATTGAAATTATTTAGTTCTACCATTGCCACTTTAGTCTTTCCTTTTTTAAACTTTGAGATTGACTAATGGGCAAATAAAAATGTATTTTGCTGAGTAATCAGTTTCCCCTCCCCCAATGTAAGCATTTTAAGTTTTAACTTCCCTTAAAGAATCTCCTTTATTTTGATGGAAGAGTCAATATAAAATTCTATTATACCTAAGTGTGTAATAACTCCTGGGAATAGATCGGCTTTAGAATCAGACTTCCTTCCTGATGGGAGCAGGTCTGCTGGGCTTCTCAGAGGCTGCCGGCCCTTCTCAGGAACACCTTTGGGTGCACACAACATCCCCGCAGCCCTAACCCTTCAGGTTAGGGTACTATCCTAGGAAACATCCTGAAAACCAAAATCCTACTGCCTCTTCTTCCTGTTAGAACATCAGATCTGTCACTTCAATAATCTTGTGGGTGTGTAGGAGTCTACATCTCAGAAGGGAATTAAACGGGTTTATCTCTGAGCTGCAGTAAAACTCTTTCCATTCACCATTGGAGACTTACAGAACAGTGTATTGAAATCAGTACCAGGATATCCTGATCTTCTTAGATACAATTAGTTTGCTTTGGCCCAGTGATCTTTGTAATGGATGATGTTTCCATTTTCATTCTCAATACCTCAAAGCTTCATTATAAAAATACAGCCTTTCCTTAAAATTCATGGCATACAACTGACACACTAACCTTGACCTTGGATTAATTAGTTCTACTCTTTATTCCTATTTGCTAGGGTCTTTATTGAGCTATCTTGTAGTATTTTGTGTGTGCTACAAAGCATGTTGGAATGAAGGACAGAATAATATGCAAAGAAATAGCACAATGGAAAGGCGGAAGACTTTGGAGTCAGACTGCTTTGGAGTCATTTGTGCTTTGAGCAAGTTAGGACTCCCAAGTCTTGGCTTTTTCTTGGTACTACGAGAGACTCCTCTCTCTCAGGTTTACTATATGAATGCCTGGTTGTTACTGTAGAATGAGGTGAGATACCATAGCTAAAATGCCTGGCACAGAGTTAGAAGGCACAAAAAACCTTACCTATCTTTCTTTCTCATCTTTACTATTTTGCCCTAAAACAAATTGGCAATTCCTTTTTGAACGGTCTAAGACCTGGTAGGGCTGTGTCACCCTGATCTCTAGTTCTTGCAACACCATCCATATCACTCTGGTTAGAGTTCTAGCTCTTTGAGCTCTGTTTCTGCTACAAGGGACTAAATTAGAAGGAGCCTGGGAATAAAAGGCACTGATTTCACACTATACTTCCCATGAGAAAAACACAATTTGGTGGTTAAACTCAGGAACCGGCATTAAGGGACCATTTTTTATTTTATTTCTGAGTTGGTCACACAGTATTAGAAATCCCCATCTCAGTTATAAAACAGAGCCAAGTACATTTATCGTCTACAGGGATGTTTGATGGATTTGCAAATTGCTTTATAGTTCTCAGATGAAAGATGCTATAAATTTTAACCACTAATGTGAGAAAACACATTCAGGATAAAGCTCTCTCTGAAACCTACTGTAACCTAGTTTCTTTCACAAGCATAGGCAAACACCCTGGAGATTTTTGGGAGGAGTTGCTTCTGTGAGCAAATTCCAGACTGCTAACGAGTAACATTGCTATCATTTACACAATCAATAATTTCACCCATAAATAAGGAGTATTAAGTGCCACAGGGTACTCAGCAAACAAGCAAATGGCTGCATATTTCCTCAGTCCAGTGGGAAAGATTAATCTGTTTTTTACAAGAAATTTAAGAGAATATTTTCCTGAAATCTTTTACTTGCAAAGCTTCAGAATAGAGACACTATAGACCTGAAATCATTTCCAACAGCTTTAGTGATGGCATCTTCTTTACTTCTCATGAATAAATTTAGGTTATTCTGAAGGAGAAAAAAACAAACCCAAAGACAATTTGGCATTAAAGCCTATCAGCATCCTTATTTTCTTCCATGAATTAAAACTCAGAAAACCTAAGTAAATGCTAAGAGAAACGTGAGTTTGTAGAGAATATTACCAGATGGCTGATTGATTTTTTCTTAGTGAGACTGACATGGCTTTGACCCCCCTTGAAAGAGGTCCTCAACTTGCAAAAGACCAAATAATCAACTCTCGTCCTGCAGGTTAAATGATTATACAGTCATTAGGACACCTTCCTTTCCTGGAAGACGGAGGTGAATACTCAAGACTTAAAAATGACCATAATCCAAAGTTAAAAAAAAATTCCAAATTCTATTAAGTATCAGTGAATAAGTGACTCAATAAGGTATATCTTGCTGCTTTATTAACTCAGTAAGTAATTTTGATCATATGTCGTGTCACCAGACCTCAGAGCTGGTACTAAGCTTTGTGAAAATACCTGGTAATGTCTCTCTGAAGACAATTACAGCTGGTGCACATTTGATGCAATGGGAAAGGTGCCACGTGGGATGCCTGTATTCCATGTCAGTGTTCCTGTTCTACTCCAGTTCCGGCTTTCTGCCAAGGAGCCTGCAAGGAGGCTGCGGGGGATGGCTGACGCTCTTGGGTTCCAGGCTTCTGGCCTCAGCCTCATCTAGCCCTGCTGTTGTGCGTATTTAAAGAGTGAACAAGTAGATGTCTTTACCTTTGTCTTTGTCTTTCTCTTTTTCTTTTTTGTTTCTTTCTGTATGTCTTTCTTTCTGCTTTTCAGATAAATAGAATTTTTTTTTTAAAGAAAACAAACAGCAGGACTTTACAAGCATCTAAGAAAAAGAGTTGAGCCATGATCCTTTGATTATGTTCATTTTCAAGTAAGCAGGTAAATGAGACAAAAATTCTACTGCAAGTTATTCTGGAAAATTCCAATTGCTGGATGTTCTGATGGGATACGTACAACAACTTTGTATTGTGTCTACTGAGAATTGTTTTGACTTTTCTTTATGGTGCTTTCACTGTTGCAACCTTCAGAGAAAATGTATGGGGCTAAAGAGGAAATTAACAAAGAAGCTAGATGATTTTCATTGAAGGACTCATTGAAAGGTCATATAGTGTTTGACATGATGCACTTTCCCATATGGAGGATGTTCATGTTCCCAGAAGTGCATGGGGCGAAAATGCCATCCTTACCTGTTCGATAGCCAGTGTTGTTAAGATATACAGCAAAAGTCCGCGGCTCATGCATGGCCTGCCACGAGGGTGAGGAGCAGTTCTCATTGTTGGTGTAGACATTGTGGTTGTGCACATACTTCCCAGTGAGCATGGATGACCGTGATGGACAGCACATGGGTGTGGTCACAAAAGCATTGGTGAAAGTGGCCCCTCCATGCTCCATAATCTTCCTGGTTTTATTCATGACCTGCAGAGACCCTGAAAGGCACAATCCCAGCATTGTTCAGTGCAGTGCAACACAAGAGTGCCCGTTTGTTCTGTGCCACTCAGATCCTGTGTTCTCCTGATTTATTACTTTCCCTCCTCTGGCTGGAGGAGTCTATAATTTGATCTGCTCTCATTTCCAGAACAAAATTAAACGTGCAGGATCCTACCTATTTTGCAGAATAATAAACACATTTCAGCTTCTTCCCTCCTTAATCACACACACAAAAATGCAAGCTAATCTGATAATGAAAGCTAGAAGTTTAGATATGGAGCAGACTCAAAGGCCAGCAGCCCTTTGAAGATTACCAGAGAACAATAGTAGGTTACAGGGAGCATCAAGACTCCCAGCCCACAACACGTGCAGAATGCCATTGACATTGCTGGGATTACTCCATGGAGCATTTTAATCATATGAAAGAAAAGAAAAACAAATCTTTATTAAGTAAAAGTCCTTCCAAAATGCCTGTATTAATTAAAAAAAAAAAAGGTCTTCCGTGGAACTTAGTATCCCCCACTGAGCTCACCAATTGTATGTGCAACAGGTTTTATTTTTTTTAACTGACATCATCACCAGTTTAGAGTTTGACTTGTTTTTTACATGTATGTAATTTTTGAAGATAGGCTGTTTGCTGGTGTTGCATACAAAAGTACCTCTAAGATTGCAAAATGTCCCATTTAAACTGTAACAGTGGAATGGAAGCAGAAGATTGCTGAGGCAGAGGAAAAAAATTGATGTCGATAACTCTGTGCAGCCAAACCTTGCAGCTGAAACACATCCAAAGCTGCAGAAAAGAACAAGCCAGCATTCAATAGTCTTTTCAGGACTTGTCAAGAGCTGCACTGCACAGTGCCACAGCCAAGCCATTGCATTTGAATCCTGGAGCTTCAGATTTCCAACAGGTCTCACTTCTTACAAAGCAAGGGAGAAAGTCTGTATTTTCCAGCAAGGGAGGAAATCGTAATGAAAACCAGGCAGGCATTCAGAGCAGAAGAGAAGGAGACAGCAGTTACGAAAGGCACAGTTATCCTGACTTCTTTATAAAGAGTTTCTTATTCATACGATGCATATGACACTAGGACAGTTTCTAATTAGGTCTCATTGGAGCTCCCAGAATAAACCTCAGCTGAGAACACTTTCAGCTGCTCCTCCTCTTGCCATCTTCTGGGGGTCAACAATGAATAACAAAGTGTTTGACCATTGCATGCAGAGCGTGCTATCAACTTCAGCCCTCAAGTCTGGTCTCCAAATATTGAATTAACACTTTTCTGCCTCTCATCATATCTCCAGACTAGAACCCATAAATAATAAATCACTTGGGGATATTTACAAAGCTATGCACTCATGAGAAGGCAAATGTGGCAACAACAGTACCTGTGGAAACAGGAGAGTAGGTATGAATAGTTTCTATGAGCTCTGAAAGGAGAAATGAGGACATAGGGAAGGAAAGGAAGTAGGCAATGTGGGATGAGTGAAGTGTTTGGTGAGGGCTAGGGAGCATGGCATGTGGGATGATCTGCAAGTGGGAAGAAGCACACGGAGTGATAAGGATAACACATTGAGTGCCTGGCTTGGCAAAGGACCTGGAGAATTTTCTTGACAAAATGTGGGGCGAGAATTAGCAAAGAGCTTGGTGGTTGAGCAGAGATATTCAGATTTGCTAGAATGGACAGAAATGAAGGCAGGGTAGGTCCTAAGTCCAACACAGGGATGACATGATGAGAAAAAAGTTTGTTGTTAGGGAGGTCATACTGCCGGTCCATCTAAGGGATAGCCTAGAGGTTCCTGAGGGTTCCAGGTGAGAGGAGCTGGGCTGGACTGCACCACTGAGTAACTCCAGGGGACAGATGCAGGTGGTGTAGTGCTGCTTCAGAGGGCTGGGAGTTGACGAGGACCACAAAGCTCTCCCGACAGGAAGAAAGTTGGAAAGGAACGCAAAGGAATATCTACAAAGGAACATGCACTACAGAAGACCAAAGAAGTTCATTTGGGACCTAAGCTTCTGGGTGGGCATTTGATGAAGTAATTAAGCTGCAGTTTGGAACAGCCGCGTCTCATTTCCATGGAGCATATGGTTTGAGTCCTGGCTCCATTTTCACTTCCAGCTAATGCACGTCCTGGAAGACAGCAGGTGATAGAAGACCCACTCCAGCAGGTGGGTCCCTGGATTGAGTTCTGAGATACTGGCTTCAGCCCGGCCTGGTTCTGGCTATTACAGGTATTTGGAAGTGAATCAGTAGAATGATCTCTCTGTCTCTTTCTGTATGTCTTTCTCTATCTCTCTGCCTTTGAAACAAAAGAAGGAAAGAAAAAAAGAGAGAAAAAAAGAAAGGAGGAAAGAAAGCAGCAAATAAAGGAAGAAAGAAAAGAATGAAGGAAAACAAAAGAAAGGAAGAAGAGAAAGGAAAGGAGGAAGGGATGAATGATCAGCTGTCTGTGCTGGTTGATCATATAGGGCAGGGTTCTGTGGAGAAACAGAGGCACAGAAATGTGGAAGAGGATGGAGAGGGAGAGGAAAGGCTGATCTCCACTCGCCTCCGCCTCTCCCCACTTAGACATCTGCAGTGGTTACTTATTGAAGAGTCCTGGATTCTGGGAAATCAGAAAGTACTGTTGATAAACTTTCACTGTCCAAGAAACTGTTTCCAAGAGTGAGCTTTCTGAATTTCCTGTGTGAGCCTTGGCTGAATTCAAATAAAGAAAGAATGCAGCTGGAGGCCATCCGCTAAGGTTCTGAATCAGAGAACTGCAAACGCCAGTTTATAGACTCATCCCACTGCAAATGTGGAATGGAGGGAGAAATCTGATTTAAGTGCAAAATAATATAAAAACTGAGGCTTAAGAGTAATTGCAATTTATAGTTGCTGGGAATGTTCTTGCTGGGACTCGGCTCATTCTCAAGATCATTCTTCTTTTGGTCAATTGTGTGTTCAGCAATCCCTCCAGAAACCTAGCTTCTCAATAGGGCCAGGTTAGAGGGAGGGGATGGGATCCCTGCAGGCACCACGAACAGTGCGACTTCATCCATGAGGGGCTGTCACGTGCAAGCTAAAACACTGCTTGGGTGCCTGCATCCTGTATCAGGGTACTTGGAATTGAGTCTCACCTCTGCTTCTAATTCGGCTTCCTGCTAATGGGCCGGGGAGACAGCGTGAATGATTGTTCCTGAATAGTTTGAGCCCTGTTAACCCACATGGGATGCTAGGATGAAATTTCTGAATTCTAGTTTTGGCTTGCCCCAGATTCTCCTGTTGTGGGCATTTAAGGAACAGACCAGAGGATAAAGGATCTCTCTCTCTTGCAAAACTTTTTTCTCTCTCTCCCTGCCTCCCCTCCCTCTCTGTCATTCTGTCCTTAAAAAAATAAACAATTTCTTTAAAAAGTTCTCATCTACCTTTAAACTCACCTGAAAAATATGTTATAGTCACAAAATCTTGGACTGGATTGGTTAGTGAGTCTACAGCTCAGAAATTTGCAATTCTTTTTTGTAAAGATTTATAAAAATTTTTTATTGGAAAGGTGAGTTTACAGAGAGAAGGAAAGATAGATTTTCCATCTGCCGGTGTACTCTCTAAGTGGTGGCAATGGCTAGAGTTGAGCTCCAAAACCATTCCAAAGCCAGGAGCCAGGTGCTTCTTCTGTGTCTCCCATGTGGATGCAGGGTCCAAGGACCTGGCCCATCCTCTACTACTTTCTCAGGCCAAAACCAAAGGGCCGGAAGGGAAGTGGAGCAGCTGGAACTTGAACTGGCACCCACATGGGATGGTGGTGCTTGCAATGCAAGGATTTAGCCACTGAGCCATGGTGCTGGGCCCAGAAATTTGCAAATCTGAGAAGCTTTCAGGTGATGTGGAAGCTGCCAGTGAGTGGATCCCACCCGAAGAGAGATTCCAGGTTGTTCTGATCCAGGGAGATGTGAAGCTGGAAGACATTTCAGTGGTTGATTCCTTTTGAATGGCTGATATCTCTCCCAAGGCTAAGACATACTGTAGACAGGAGGGGAAAACATTGACTTGACACCTAACCCTCAGCCAGGTTCTCCTCTAAGTTTTATTCACACCTACCATCTCACTTAATCCTGACCATAGCTCCCTGTAGTGAGGACTATCATTTGGTTTTTCCATATTCCAGATGAAGACAATGAGGTGAAAAGTGAAATCACACTCCTGGGCCACATAGACCCTTGGCAGCACAGGTCAGGTGCTTGCATAGGCAGTTGGCTTCGGAGAGTGTGCCTTCAAGCTCTGTCTAGCCTGGGCAATGGCTGGGACACCGACATTATCAAGACCGACGGGCAGAAACGATGCCAACTCACAGGCTAGAGAGCTCTCACTTCCTACAGTTTCACCTTTTGCTCATCTGGAGTCTTGGGAGATGCTGCCCAGCACTGATGAGTGCCTCCTGCGCTCCTAAGGGCTGAAATGATCTCAGAAATTCAGGCACTGATGATGGGAGACTAGGCTGTATGTCTGGAACATAGTGTTAATCACTGTCGCTCACCTTGAGTTTTTGGACAGGTGCAGAAAATAGAGTGTAGAAAACTGAGCCTTCATCCTTCCGGTCAGTGTGTGCCAGCAAAGAGAGCACAGAGCCGCTTTTTATTTTTATGGCTGCGTAATGATTGACATCAGCAGTAATAATCCCTTACACAGTATCTATTGTTGATGTGATTGCTCCATTGATTTTTCATTGGCAACCTTTACTAGAAACTAGACTATAATAAAATTCATGATTATGTATTCATGGCTGTTTAGAGCAGTGTACAGGGGCAATTATTTTGTTCTTTTGGTAGAGAGGCTCAGTTTTGCTTTGTCGATTTATTCTTTGTTGTCTTATATGAAAGACAGAGAGGAGAAAGAGATTGAGATCTTGTGTTCAGTTGGTCATTTCTAAAATGCCTGTAAGAGCTGAGACTGGGCCATTCCAAGCCAGAAGTCAGAAACTCAACTCGGGTCCCTCGCTGGGGTGGCAGAAACTCAAGGACTGAACCATC